TTCATGTGAGGGTCTTCGGGATCTTGGACCCATTCAGCACATTTGGACCAGTCCAGCTTCGGCTCAGCATGAAGGCAGACCCTTCGGCACACTCTGAACCCGTTTCTAAAACCCATTTCATACTCTTCTTGGGTATAGATACGGACTTTGAGTAGAGCCTCAGCATCGGCCAACTTCTTCTTCGTCTCCTCCAAGTCTTCCTCGGATCTCTTCAGCTCATCGACGAGCTTGGAGGAGGAGCCTTTCAGCTCGGTAAACTCTTGCTGAACCCGGGAAGCCTCGGCCTGAACTTGGACCATTTCTTCCTTCTTGGCAGTGAGCTGATCCTCAGCCTCTTGTAGCTTAGCTCTTTGAGCTTCAGCAGCAGCAGCAGCCTCTGAGAGTTGGACGTCTTTGGCCAAGAGCAACTCTTCAGCAGCCATTCGGCTGGCTTCAAGAGCCTCTAGACGCTGCTGCACTTCAGCTTGTGCAGCAGTTCCTTCTTGAATTCGGCTCTCAATAGCAGCCTTGAATTTGGAGACGTCCACTCCCATATGCTCCTGGAGGAATTTTTCCCCTTCCATCAGTGGGGGAAAAACCTCCATCTCCATAGCATCGCAGAAGGTTTTCAGAGCTTCGGCAGCTTTTTTACCGTACTCCTCAACCTCCTGCTGCTTCTCTTCAGCTGCTGCTTGCTTCAGCTTAGCAAGCTTAACTTCCTCTTCAGCCACCTTCCTTTCGTGCACAGCAGCGTCCACCCTATCTTGTAGGGAATCTATCAGCTCTACAGTGAGAGTCTGATTGTGCACGAACTGAAAACAGGGGCACAAGTTAAAAAAGTAAAAAATAATAGCTGAAAGGTTGAGTTCAGAAAGAAATCAAGGCAAGGAAAATTACCTGCATCATCAGCAGTTGGTTAGACCTGGCTGGGTCAGGAACTGATCTACTGGATTCGCCCATCCCAGCAGTGGCCTTCAGCGACCAGATCCTTGCCCTGTCTACTTCGGACATGCCAGCAAAATTGCCGAAGTAGGCTGCAGCTCCTTCTCGGTTTTGACCCCATATGAGGTCCCAGATGTGATCTGGGATTGGAATTCGGGGGGCCGAGAAACCCATTTCTCCAGAATGCAGAGTCTGGAAAGAAGGGAAGGACGACGATGGAGCTTGATTAGCTTTGGTTGTCTCAGCATCGTCCTTCTCAGAGGAGTCAAGTACTATGACCTCCTCTTCTTCAGGGGTGAGGACGAAAGCCTCAACCTCTCTTGCGATATCTGCCGTGAAGCCTTCAGCACTTGACATCACGGCATCTTTATTTTCGTGCTCAGCAGCACTCTCCTTGATTTCTTCTTGGACCCCTCCCTTAGGTTCGGGAGTTCTCTGATCCACCTCCATCTCAGGAGGTGGCGGAGGGGTCTTTTGAAGAGATTGGGGTGTTGGCTGGGGAACCCTCGGCGATCCATTGCCTTCCTCAGGTTCCCTTATTGCGACGCCGATGGTCATCGGCCTCTGCTGAAAGTCATGAGGGCCGATGATGGCCATCCTTCGGCGCCTTTTCAGAAGGGGCTGCTCGTCCATATCTGAGTCTGAAGACTCTTGTATTTGATCTTCGGGACGAACAGGAGCTTTGCCTTCTCTGTGTCTGTTACTCTCTTCAGACTGTAACAGACAGGGGGGAAGAAGAGTGTAAAAAAAAAAAAAAAAAAAAAAAAAAGAAGAAAGACAAAGTTAAGTCTAAAGGCTCACCGAGGTCTTCAGCAAAGCCTCGTCTTCTTCAGCTGCCCTAGCCGCAGCTTCTTCAGCAACTCTGGAGGACCCTTCTCCACCTTCACAAGCTTCAATAACCCGTGCAACCTCTTCGGCTGTACGGGCAGCTTCAGCTTCTTCTTCCAGCAGCTGAAACAAGGGATCTCTCTTCTTCCACCAAGGCTTCTGCCTCTGATACAGAGCAACAGCCTCAATTTGGAAGTGGGAAGAGTCTAGGTGAACCTCTCGGCGCCTTGGTTCAGTGATAGGGGGAGCCCGATCAGTTACGACTCGTTCTCGGTTGACGCCAAGGCGAGCGTAATCAATGCCGACGTTGGTCTCGTCCCGTTCTGAAAAAGAAAAGGGGAGAAGTCAATTCAGTTAGTTCGGCACATCACAAGAAAGCAAAATGAAAGAAGAAAAGAGATAATTAAAAGGCCTCGGCCCCAGCCGAAGAAGATTACCATCCCTAAACTTTCGGCTGAGGCCGACAGCTGCCAGCATATTCTCTTGGAAAACATAGTGCGTATCGGGGAGCCAAGTCTCCGGGATATGCTGCATTCGGCCGCTGCCTCCCCGGTTCGGCAGCTTGCCGAAGATGTTCTGCTGATTAAGGTTCGGGTCTGGCCCGCTATCTTCGGGAGGACCTAAACTTCCCATATCAGGATCCGGCTCGGCAAGATACCGGGGAGCGCTGAAAACGTAAGGGTGGCTCGGCTCCGTGGGTGCCCTAACCCAAATCCATTGACCTCTCCAGTCCTTGTCTGAAGAGTCATTTGGCCACATGGTCAAGTATTGGGGCCGGGACTCAATCCGATACCACCCAGAACCATGGCTTCCGTGCCCACTCTGAATATTTGGCACTAGCCGATGGAGCTTTCTGAAGCAGTGCAGGTTCGGCACGTATCTGAAGAACTTGCAGACCCATAAGTACGTCATTACCCTTCGGACGCTGGTGGGGGTCAGCTGGCACAGGGAAATGTTGTAATGGATCAGCAAGTCTCGGACGAAAACGTCCAAAGGGAACCTCAGCCCATACTGAAGCTGTCTCGTGTACACCCCCACATACCCCGGGGGTGGACGATGGATTCTATCGGATGCTGAGGGCATTCGGCACCAATATCCATCAGCTTCAAAAATGCCGTAGTGCAACTCAATTTGCTCGGCAAATCGATACTGATCGGCGTTCTCTACCCACCATGAGTAGGGGCGGTTCTTTATCATGGCCGAAGCGACTTCGGCATCCTCCCACTCTGAAAACCCTGGGAGGATATCCCAAAGGACAGCGGGAACTTCATCATCCCGTCCTGAAGCGCTCACCCCCTCAGCCCTCTGAGGAGGAGCCGAAGAAATGGGAGTCGCCCTAACCCCTTCAGCAGGGTCAGACTCTGTCCTTCGTCCATTCCAGGTCCCAATCCTGTCCCTGGGATCGGGGATTAGCCTTGCTCTCCTTGGAGCACGGGCTCCACCTCTAACTCCCCTCACCATTGACGAATCTCGAAGGAAAAAGTCGAAAAAGGGGAAAGAGTGCAAAGTCGAAGAAAAATGAAACAAAATCAAAGGAATTTACCTTGATCTGAAGCAAAAGCCGCCGATTTACGAATTGGTAGTGACAAGTCTCAGCTTCTAAGCTTAATGCTCGGGGAATTTGCGAAGTTTTGATGCGGGCTCTTGAGCGTTCTTGAGAATTCTGGGTTTGTGTTGATGAGTGAGTGGGGAGAGAAGACGCGCCTCTATTTATATCTCCAGAAATGGGAATTCAAGGAGTCTGCGTTTCAATTTCTCTCAAGCACCCCACTAAGTAACCGTTAAACACACGACCTTGCAGTTAAATCGCCCACTACCCATCCAACTTCCGCAATTATCCACATTAACTGTTGTTATCTCATTAATCATGGGTTAATTACGGTTTAAATTCACATTTTTGGATTAACAAATCATTCACTTCCCTCCTTTTCTGATTAAATCAAACCCGACCCGTCATCCTTCCAAATCGGGTCTGGGGGGCAAGTTGTTTGGGTCCAATTTAGTCCAATTGGGCCTGGTCACTGAATGATCCAATTAAAAGCCCAAGGTTAAGGTTCAACTCTCCAAATGTGCTAAAGTCAAAAATCAAACATCCTCAAAGCCATGTCAAGGTCAGTCAACGGCCCAATCAGCTTGGCCCAGCCCAACTGACTTCCGGGCCCAATCCGCCTCCTTCATTAGCCAAGGTATAAAAGCCAACAATTTGGTCAATTCTTGGTAAGACAATAAAGCCTCAAGCAACTAAACTCTTGCACAGCTTTCTCTCTCTAATATACTGACTTAAGCATCGGAGGGGCCTTCCTCGGCGTCCCCCCCGAGGCTAGTTTACGTGTATTTGTTGTGCAGGAAACCCTCGGCTCCTGCGTCGTTCGGACCGAGACCAAGTTCCCTCAAGATAAAAGGATCTTCCGAGATTCGATTGTTTTCATCCGAAACATTTCTAATCCGTATATATGAATGCTGTTATTTGTTGATTTTTAGTTTTTATATTTGGTTTTTCATGCAGAATAAGTCTCTTTTTTTTTTTTTTTTTTGAAATGCACCATGAACCTATCATGCTATAGGCATCCAATTAGTCAGTATAGTCACATTCTTGGAGACTTATGATTGGAATTTTGAGATTGGTAACGACCACAATATATGCGTTTTAGAAAAGCGGTTGGTTCTGTTTGATAGGCGCTAATAAATGATCTTTATGATTATTAAGATAGCGTATAGTTTGTAAGGAAAATCGAAGCCTTTTTAGTCTAACATCTGTGTTTTTCATAATAAATTTTCGTTATAAAAATTATTACATCTATGTTGGGATGACATTGAGTGATAATGAAATGGGAGAAAATATACTTTATGCGGAGTATGTGAGTAAAGTTGCGCCAATTTGCCATGGACAAAGACATGGGATATTTTTGTACAAAGTCCCACGTTAATTTATTACTATTGTTACTAAATAGTCTAATTTAAATACCAAAGCACTGTTAATCACAAATTTATGCAGTGTTACATTGTAATTTATAGATATTCATTATCAATTTTAAATTCTTCATGTGTGCTAATATAAAGTATTCTTTAGGTATATTATATAAAGTACGTATACCCTTCATGTTTTTATTAAAAACTTCATGAAATTCCTCCGAAAATTGGAATAATAACAAATATTCACATGTATCTCGAATATTAGCTGTGCCATTGATTTTGTTAAGGAGGGTTAATTGTTAATTATCCTATTAATTAGGATTTATTCTTTAAAACAGGCATATATAACAGAGTTGGAGTTAGAAATTGACAATTTCAGAAAAGAGAACGCGGCACTAAGGAAACAACAACTACAGGTGAAGAATACATTTTCAACTCTTATTTAATTTCTATAAGCAAGTTTTTATTTATAACCCATTAACCCCTGGTTTCACAATGATTATCAGTTTATAACTATTACAATGATGTTTAACTATGAATGTGACTTGTAAGTTCATGGAAAAATCATTGCAAATATTACTATTAATGGTAGGTCTAAGAATTAAGTAATGTCATTTATATCAACAATAAAATGTCAACTATTCTAGCGTATTTTTTATTTATTTATTTATTTATTTTTGTCACATTATCTCTTACTTTTGAAGTCGAAAAGTAAAGGAACTTTATCTTATACTTATTTTTTTTTTTTCAAACGACCTTGCTAATTTAATTTTTTTTTATTTTTTTTTTTTGAAAAATGGTTATGTTTCTTTGAATTAATTGGTTCTAGGGCCAAATAGGTAGGCTCTTAATTAAAATCTTGTGTATGAGTACTTGTATTTAGTTCACCTAAAGAAGAATAAAAAAACTTGTAGTACATATCCTAACTCGGATCATTCAAGTCAAACTATTAATAGAAAAAAAAAAAAAAGTCTCATATTATAATCTCCTCATGTTTATGTTACTATATTTGACTAATCATTTTTTTAAGAAGTGGGCAACTTTTGTCAATTTGGTAATTTGATATTTTTTGGGTTACATTTTGGGGGCCCATACAATAATATGCAGTTAATTGAAGCTCCGCCTGCCCAGCTTCCGAAAAAGCACGGTCTTCGTCGAACATTAACAGCACCATTTTAAGATGCATATTTTTATTTTGACAAAAAAAACAGAAGACCCAAAATATTTGGTATTTTGCTGCTTTATGTAATGATATATTGGTATTGGTGGGGTCATTTTGTAGTACTACTAACAGTGATAGAGGACCAAAGCAACTAAATATGCTTTTGGACACGTGCCTTTTACTAATTGGTCCCTAGTTTATCCCCCCCTTCTATTCCTTGTTATTTATGAACAATGGTGGATGAATGTAATTATCCTTAATTAGTACTAATTCCGTTTCTTTGCCGATTATATATTTTGACTTTACGACTATTTACAATTTTGACTTTTATTAATGAATTTTGTAAGAAAAAACATGATATGAAATCTTATTAAAATTAATTTTTAATACCATTTTTTTTAATAATAATTATGGAGTACATTAATAATGAAAATTGTACGTCAGCAATGTCATTGTGTAGATGAATAAAATTAGGAAGGGGAACAAAAGGACAATACATGTTCTCTAAAATGGTGGTATTCAACTAGCATCATCATGCATGAAAGGACAATAATTTTGTCCTTATTTTGACTATGGTTTAAAGGAGTTAGACTTTGTTCTCTTTAACTTACTTTAGTCGAAATTATACTATTGATATAATGAGATTTAGTTCAACAATAACAACATATATTTTCATAATACCTTAACGAGTATATTAATATATTTTAACTTTATGTATTTATTTATTTTTGTCAAAAATAAGTCACAACCTTAAAATCTAGCTTTGAAAAAAAATCAATCTTTTAAAACCGTTTATTGTTTAAAATTTGATACTCGTAGTACTTTATTGCTTTCATATTTAGCAAGTAAAAAAAGAATTTTCCGTCTAATGATGAATATAGATTGAGATATGTGATGTGTGCGTGTGATAACCTTAATAAGAAGGGTTAAAAAGAATATGAACCACATATAAAAGAAGAGGGGGGTGTGAGTGAGATAGTGAAGATTTAGTGATGGTTAGGGGTGGGACTTTTCAAACCGAACCGTGAAACCGTCCGTTACCGAACCGAACCATCACTGACCGAACCGTTTATAACCCGCTAATTTTAAACCGAAAACCGAACTGAACCGTATAATGTCAAACCGAAACCGAACCAAACCAATTAATGTTAACAAACCAATAACAAACCAAACCGTTTATAAACCGAAGCCGTTTGAACCGATTAATGTTAACCCGCTAACTGTTTAAACCGAACCGTTTAAACCGTAGGAAAAAACCGTTTAAATCGAACCATTTACAACCCGCTAACCGTTTAAACCGAACTGTTATAACCCATTAAACCGTTTAAACCGAACTATTTTCAAACCGCAACCCGTTTAAACCGATCCGATTACAAACTATTTAAACCGAACCGTTTACAACCCGTTCCATTCAAATTGAACTATTTACAGCCTTTAACAATTTGTTAGAATTCCACGAAATATATTTGATGTTTAATGTAATTTAACAGTACAACTTTTATTTACATATAATTATTGATTTAAATTAAATTTTTTTGCTATTATAAATTTAAAATTATATTCTTGTATAACTAAATTAGGAGTTATAAATTAAATAAAAAAATGAAAAAATTTGGCCACCCACCCAATCCAACCACCCTCCACCCACCCACCACTGTAGCCCACCCTAACACCACCCCCGCCGTCACCCCAGACCCACCCTAACACTACCCCCCACCCACCACCGTTACCGTAACCCACCCCCACCCCACCAACGTCAACCCAGACCCACCCTAACACCACCCCCGCACCCACCATAATTACCGTAACCCACCCCACCCCACCCCACCACCCACCGTAAATAAAAAAACCCAGACCCAAACCTTACCCCACCCCATCCACCACCGTCACCGTAAATAATAAAAACCCAGACCCATACCCCACCCCACCTACCACCATCACCGTAACATACCCCACCCCACCCCACCCCACCCACCACCGTCACTGTAAAAAAAAAAAAAAAAAAAAAAAATACCAGACCCAACCCAACCACACCCACCACCGTCACCGTAACACACCCCACCCCACCCCATACAAAAAAATCGAAAAAAAACCCAAACCCACCGTAACCCCACCCCACCCACCCCCACGAAACCCAACATCCTCGAAACCCCCCAACTCACTCTAATTGCTCACCCACCATAAAACTCCCTCCCTCCCTCGAAAAATCCTCCATCCCCACCCACCCGAACCCAGTCTAACCGCCGCCGCACCCACCCTAACTCGGCCCCCTCCGTTGCCCACAACTTGAAAAAAAATTAAAAAGAAAAACAAAAAATAAAAAAAGGAAGAACGAAAACACCTTATATATTAATCCTGAATTTGGCCTCGAATTTGGTTTTAAAAGGCCAAATTCGATCATGAAACAACTAGATCAAGAGTTTCGTGGTCGAATTTGACCATAAAAACCGTCGTGCGTGGTGCCGGTGGACGGAGACGGAGAAACGAGATGGAAGAAAGGAGAACATAGACGGAAGAAGGGAGAAGAAGGAAGAAGAAGAAAGGAAGAAGGAAGAGGAGATGAGAGAGAAAACGAGAGAGCAGTGAGCATATTAGCAGCCATGACTTCAAAAAATTGATAATATTACAGAAGAGGATTAAGAAAACGAAAGAGAAATCAAAAAGAGTACTAAAGAGACGATGGTAAGAGTGATCTGATTGGTGGAAAAGAAAAACACACGGATCGTGAATTGGAATGTGTGCGATGATAGGCCGTTAATTGACATGCAAATCAATGGCTGATATTTAATATAAGACGGTGACACGGATCATGGGATAATGGATTTGGATAGTATGTTTTTTTTTATTCATAGCTACATACTAATAAAAACACTACTGTACTCTTAACTTTATGTAACTTATAAATTTTAAGAAACACAAATGTTTGAAAATTGGAATTGATTCAATATGACATATTTAATGTATATTAGTTATATGTATATCAGTATATGTAATAAATAATAATGTATGGTACGATTGGTATCATACTATCATTGGTATGTATAGATAATCGATAAATGTATCTGATTATTAAAACTTAAAACAGTTGATGATCGATCTAATTGAATACTTCTACTTCCCCACCCGTTTTATTTAACTTGCAAGTTGCAACATATAAATGTTGCAGCCTTGTAGGCACGTAATCTTAAAAGGTGATTAGAGAGGGTAAGACAACAAAGTAATTCAGCAATATAACTTTAACACCAAAATTATGGAATAGTTACAAACAAGTGTCAATTATTACTTTATTAGACTAATGGGAAATTGAATAATCGTGATTTTAATTAAACATCCAAATATAGTTCCGTAACATTAAATTATTAGTTTATTACAATATCAATTATCGATTTATCGTATTCAAAGTACCAATTCATCAAATCATGGTTATGACGCGATCTTTAAAACAATTAAAACAAGAAGCTGATAGCCTGATAATATTTGATAATGAAACAATAATACATTAATACCTTATAAATTTGTAATAGACTAATATTTAATAAACAACAACAAGACTATAACCAAATTTGAAACATAAACATTAACATGATATAGAATGAATGAGAATTTCTGTAATTCTATATAATCTGATATCTGAATCGATTTATCGTATTCAAAGTAGCAATTCATCAAAACATGGTCATGACACGATATCTAAAACAATCCAACAAGAAGCTGATAACCTAATAATATATATTTAATAATGAAACAATAATACATTAATACATTATAAATTTGTAATAGACTAATATGATAATATCGAATAAACAACAACAAGAGTATAACCAAACTTGAAACATAACATATTAACATGATATAGAATAATTGAATAAATGAAGATTTGTGTAATTGTATATAATCCGATGTCTGAAAATAAAGTGACGAAGTCCCAACTTTATATAAAACGAAAATAGCTAACCGGTCAAAAATCTCTTAAAACCCAATTTCTACTCGACCCATTATTTTTTTCACCAACCTATGCCGACCCGCTAATGAAATGGAAATACTAGTCCCAACTTGATATAAAACAAAACGCGCTAACTGGTCAAAACCACTTTTTAGAACTCGATTTCAACCTGATCCTATTTAACTGATTACCAAAACTAACCAGAACGATTTTAGCACCAAACCGAGTATAAACCGAACCGATATGAATCGAACTAGCATTAACCCGGGTAAACCCGCCCCTGAACCGACCCATTTCAAAATAATCCGTTCATGACCCGAACCTATATGAACCCGGACCGACGTTGACCCGGTAAAACCGCCCCTGAACCGATCCGTTTCAAACCGGTCAGATCATGACCCGAACCGTTTATAAACCGAACGGGCATTGACCTGGGTAAACCCGCCCCTGAACCGACCTGTTTCAAACCGACCCGATTATTAACCGAACCGTTTAAAAACCGAACCGGCATTGACCCGAGTAAATCCGCCCCTGAAGCGACCCATTTCTAACCGATCTGATTATGACCCGAACTGTTTATAAACCGAACCGTTTATGACCCGAACCGAATTTAAATCGTACAAAAATAAACCGAAACCGAACCGACCTGTGACTAATCAAAACCGAACTGAACCGACCCGCCGTTTAAATGAAACCGTTTTAACCCGAAACGTTTCAAACCGAAACCGTTTCAAACTGAGGTCAAACCGAACTGCCAGACCGAAGTCCTACCCCTAGTGATGGTCATATAATAATTCCAAAGTAGAAAATGATGTCTTCTTCGTGGTACTCAATGTGACACAAGAGGTTGTTGTGCCATAACCCCACGAAAGGGTGAATTTTCAAGATTCTCAATGTCATTTCATTTTATTTATTACTCTATATAAATAACCAAAATTATACGGAGTAGAATAAAAAAACAAATGTCTAAATCAGTTACAAAGGTGGTGGACCGTTGGAGGTACGGAGTAGCATTTTTTCTTTTGTCCTCAACTTACCCACAATTATGTCTATGGTGTAATTGTTTGGTTTTTAAAATTTTTTGTATTGACATGTACGTTTGTACAATTTTTTTTTGGATCTGTTTGAGGGTTGAGATGAAGAAAATTTCTCTTAATCCAATTTGAATCTTAATTAGATATACTGTATTAAGATATTCTTTTTCGTAAGGTAAACACCTATAAAATACGAGTAATACACGACAAAGAATATAACTTGAGATTCTCTTTTATCAACTTGTGCTTTTTCATAGGCTTAAACGAGTGGGCTTTCCTTTTCTGGTTGGCCAACTGGGCATCTAGTCGTAATTCATGCGTACGTGCTAGATATTTTACTTTATAAATTAAATAAAAACACTTAATTAACAACCTTCCGATGTCGTCCAGCGGTTAGGATATCTGGCTTTCACCCAGGAGACCCGGGTTCGATTCCCGGCATCGGAACTTTTTATTTTTCAGGATCTTTTCAAGACACTGAGGCCAAGTCCTTATTCAACGTTTTTTTTTTATTTATTAGTTTTTCTTTTTATTTTTAAATGAGTAACAAGAAACAATTACGGTTATGGATTACTTTTGTTGGATATTCATTTGACTTCAATCTGATGTTTGATTTTTTGGATCTTTTCAAGACACTGAGGCCAAGTCCTTATTCAACGTTTTTTTTTTTTTTTTTTTTTTTTTATTAGTTTTTCTTTTTATTTTTAAATGAGTAACAAGAAACAATTACGGTTATGGATTACTTTTGTTGGATATTCATTTGACTTCAATCTGAAGTTTGATTTCAAGATTACTTTCAAATAGGGTGGACAGTTCATTAAGACAATAGATCATGTTCATTAAGACAACCTAACCAATTTTTCTATTTAACTCACTTTGTTTTTAAATTGGTTGATCTACTTCGTATTTAATTTTACTCGTCATAAACTCTGAGATGTTTTTGGAATTTTATGGTCAAAATCTTTTAAGTTTGATCAGAATATTTACAATGGGGCAAACTGATAGAGATGAAAAGAGTACATTCTTACCTTCTCGATCAATATACACACAAAAAGGTAAATTGATAAACACATAAAAAATGCGGATATTCCATGGCAAGTTGATGCCTAGATCATATACATAGAACCAATACCAATCCTATCCATACTGAAATATGTCATATGTCATAAAAGTATTTTGTAAAAATAAATGTCACCAAGCTACAACCTAGTTAAGTTTTGGCATTTTCACAGCAACATGGCAAATGACATTTCTTTTATTACCCACCAACAAATGTTTCTTTTTGAAGAAAATAGCCTATCATGGGAATTGGGAAGTTAAATATCCATTTAGAAAGCATTCTGATGAATTATGACTAATTATGAGGAATGATTAAGTGATTTTAAAAACTAAGACAAAAGATTAAATCCAAAAAAAAAAAAGACAAATTAGAGTTTGTATAACTACATAATTTTGGAATAAAAACACTCAATGTCAGTCAAACATAAGCCAAAACGTAACTTGTTGACAATTGTCTGTTGTTATATCTTCACTCAATTGACATACACATCTTAAAGGCAAAATTTAAAGAGTGCACAAAATACATACATTTAAATTGACTAATAAGTATTCATTTTTCTTCACTCAAAAATCTTAGAAAATGCCAGACAAACCAGTTACATGAAAAGAAGAATACCATATCATCATTTCCCTACTATGCTCTTCTTCCTTCTTCTCATCTTCCACAATAAACCTGCAAATCGGACATGTTTTCCGACGTGCCTTGAACCACTTATTGAGGCATGTAGAATGGAAATGGTGTAAGCACGGAAGAATTGTAACGTCTTCATCTTCCTTGCTTAGACTCGACAAGCACACACAACAATCATCTTCTTTCGCGAAACTTATTAACTTCTTTGCTTCCTTGACCTTTTTTAGGCCTATGAAGTTGAAGATCAAGCATATAAAGTTCCGCATGATCATCTGCGTTACTAGTGTAAGGCTAATCAATTAGAAGGGGTAGTAAAAGTATCGGAAGATACATTCTTTGTTTCTTGAGAAACAACTAACTATATGAATGGATAAAAGAAGTTAGTGCAACTTGTTTTAGGTCATTTTGCTTGGTTTGTAAGTGAATGTATGGTTGGAGTGTCTAGTGAAAATTGGTTGCACCTAAACTTAGAGAGTTACCCTTTAATTTAATCCTTGTCTTTTTGTCTATGAATCACTAAGATATTTAGTTGATTATTTACAAACTTATTTAAGTTGTACTTAATTAGTTTTGTTATGGGATAGCCGTTCCCAACAACCCTTTGGCAATCAACAAAATAATTAACTCCACCAAAGTGTGTTTTGACTTTTGAGCACATTTCATTAAAGCTTAGATAGGAGCCTTGAATCAACTATGGTTTAAAATCTTATGAAAAAGACGTGTATCACGTAAATATTACAATATGAATTGTATGAAGAATTTAAATAATTTTTTTTTTTTTTTTTTTGATATTTAGGTGATAATGTACTTTCAACTTGGGTTTATATATTTTAGAGTACCATCTATATCTACACTATCTATTGCACAAGCACACAACCATATTATTTGCAGTTTTAATATCACAAATTAAAGATCTAAAATATCTTAAATAATGCAGGATTCAATGAATATATATAATGCGCAAATTATAACATCAATCCGATGTTATCTGGCTTTCACCCAGGAGACCCGGGTTCGATTCCCGGCATCGGAACTTTTTGTGCGTGAAGTTTTCTTTCTTTAAACATCATGTCATGCATATAATTTTTTTCTTTTATTTCCTTAAGGTTGTTATTAATACTCAAGTATCAATTCTATAAAAAGTTTAATATAATTGATGTATTGTTGTAAAAAGAGGAGGTTAAGAAATCTTACCAAAATTGCTGCTTTGAAGTGTTTGACGAAGGCTCCAAAGTTGAAACAACCAAAGGACCCTTTAAGTGAATATGTTGATCAAGTTTACCATACATTAAACAAAAAACCTGGATAAATTAAATGAACAGGTGAAAACAAATACGAGGTAAAAACACACGTGTCGTAATATCATTGCCAGGTAATATATGTATATATCCTCTTCAAGATTTTTCCTTAAAAATATGCCAACTCATAATTGATAAGTACAGTTCAATTATCAGTTTCATGATTCAGATTTTACAGGAATGATCAGAGTGTTTATTAAAACAACAGCAACTGCTATCCCTTTGCTCTAAATGGATAGTTCAGCGTTCTGCATTACACTCCTATCGCCCATCCATAGTGTCTATGACTGTGTCTGTGTGCATCCGTAAACACTGCCATCGAGTAAGCCACGAAATGGAGTTTGAGCATCACATTGAAAAATGAAACAAGGGAAATCAGATGCACAGCATCTGCATTCTGCACCAATTTGTATATAATTGCTGAATTTTCATAAGAGATAGTTACACAAATGGATATTAAAGAACTCGACTATCTTGGTCTTGGACATTAGCTGTATAAATCATACGGAACAAAAAAAATTGTAGTTCAGTAATCCTAAAATTGGGACTAATGTTACATGTGGCTCGTAGCAACACAGTATATAGCTATTCTAGGCAGGTTCACAAGAAGTCCCATCTCCCGCCACACAGAAATAATAACATACAAGCAACATGCTTGAATTTGGGATAGAAGAGTACAGATCAATCTCAATCTTTCATTTCCTTGTGGCCATCTGTATGGGACAATCCTTCATCTTCAAGGATCTTCCCGTCCTTTGGAACCAACCGAGGTATCCCATCAACTATCTGTAGTGTAAATAAGGAAGATGATGAGAGATATTAAACAAGAAAAAATTCCTAGTATGTATGGCAGAAAACATATCTTGAGAACCCCCAAAACAGCAAGAACAAGACAGCAATAACAACCAATGGCAAGCAATCAATAATGGCACACGATGTAAATGTGCAATGGAAGCTACTCAGCTAGTAACTCTGTAGCAATATCTTGCTAGTAAGAGCCTAAGACCAGCAAGTTTATGGCCCAAGAACATCGTGTTCATGAATATGGTTAGAAACTTTTCACTGTTCAACATTGTGTCAGGAGTTGGTTATGTTCATTCAGTCTAATTTGGAATGTCCATTGTAAAGCTGTAACTGGACATCCAATATCCTAAAATATACCTTTAGTCAAGATATATGCAAAATATGTAATGCAGTTGGTACCATATTGCAGTCAAAGTTACTGGATACAGTTGTAGGTATCCGTTATTTTTAAGATGGATTGCAGGTCTTAAGGAGTAGAATTCATGAACCTTCCTTTCAAATATCAACTAAAACACACTTAAATTACAAATGTGATTGTATCAAAGGCGATTCACTAAATATAAGCAATGAATTTGATGAGGATTTGCCAATTTGGTAGGGATTTTCCATGGACCTCCAAAATAAAGCTTCACAACAATAAAGCTTCACACCTTTTAATTTTGTCACCGCTCATCATATCTTTAAAAAAAACAAAAAAACAAGGCATGTGCAACAACTGGTATTGGAAATTCATTACTTAGAATTCACTAAGAAGTAAGGACATTCCATATCAATTTACACATATATACATAATCATCATCAATCCCCCTCTTGATTCATTACATATCATCAAGTCAGGAGTCAATGTGCATTTCTTGTTACTATAAGAATCTTTCAGCTACAATTTACAAGATTGTATCCTATTAACATTATACAGTCTATCATAGATTAGAGGCATTAGACAGCAAAACAATCCTAGCACAAAGCAGAAGACATATCCTGTGAGCCCACAAGGCCACAATACAGCAAGATGAAAACGGCAGTAAATTTCTCTATTTGGAGCAAAAACAATGGCAAGTGTTCAACCAAGTTTTGGTATAAGGTTGAGAAGCATAAAGTAAAGCAAGCTTGTAAACAGTAGCAAAGTCTTGCAGTCGACACTGTCCCACTAAGACTTGCAAGAATGCGACTCAAAAACATCATGTTAGGGCCTAATTTGGAATGTCCATCGTGAAGGTGCTATTGGAGTTTTGAAGGGAAATGCTACGTTACCAAGCAAACCTAGGGTTGTCAAAAGTTGACCCAAACCGAAATTTCGAATCAAACCCGATTATTAACCGACCCATCTGAACCCAAAATAATGGTGACCCGAACCCGACCTGAAACCAACCCTAGACCTGAGTTGACCCAAGTATGTGAGACCCGAACCCGAACATGAACTGACCCGAATTTAACCCGACTTGTTACTAACCTGACCTGAATTTAACCCGACCCGTTCCTAACTCGACCCGAATTTAACCCAACCTGTTACAAACCCGACCCGAAATCAACCCGACTTGTTATTGACCTGACCCAAATTCAACCCGACTTGTTATTGACCTGACCCAAACTCAACCCGACCTGATTTTAACCTGCAAATTATTGGCTTGAAGATAACCCGACTTGAATTTGAAAAATGACCCGACTTAAAAATGACCCAACCTGATTATAACCCGCAAATTATTGACTTGAACCGAACTGAACTCGAACCCGAGAATTACCCTAACCCATTTTAACCAGAATTAAACCCGCCATATTGTTCACCCGACCCGAATGTAACCCGACTCAAACCCGATAAGAAGTATGACTCGACGTGATCCGGCTAAAGCATGACTCAACCAAACCCGACCCGTGTAGGTTATGGAATTAATCCGAATTGACCAGAACCGAGTTGACCCGACCCAGTCTTACCGACCCAAACCCGACCCGTTTACCCGAATTGACAGCTCTACCCGAAAACTCCAAAATTTTTCAAAAAGAGAGGATATTAGTCTTCAATTTTGGAATTTTATAACTTTTTTTCACCCGAAAATAAAAATTGCCGAAAATGTTTACCATGGTCCCCAATACCCTTCGGGAGTCCAATTGGCTAGGTGGATCCAATTTGCCTTTAAACAACCAATTTACCGGTTTACAACTTGCACCGTTTTCATTAACTCAAGCCTAACACAAACATTTATGACAACATATAATGATCATATATGGTTCCAAACGACATTATATAACCCCGAAATGTATACCTGAAATCTGAATGCTTTTCGACACCAGGCTCCGAAACATTCGAAATTTCTCAAAAATCGTAGATATTAACCTTCAATTTTGGGATTTTTTTACTATTTTTCGCCCAGATATAAAACAGCCGAAATGTTACCATGGTCCCTAATACCCTCCGGGAATCCAATTGGGTGGGTGGAACCATCCAATTTGACTTTAAACGACCAATTTAGTGGTTTACAACTTGCATTGATTTCATTAACGCAAGCCTACCACGAACATTTATGACAATATATAATGATCATATATGGTTCCAAATGTCATTATATGACCCCTAAAATCTCAAGGCCATTCGACACCGTGAGCCGAAACCTCCAATTTTTTTTCAAAAAGTGTGGATATAAGCCTTCAATTTATGAATTTTTTAAATTTTTTCCGCGCGGAAAGAAAATTGGCGAAATATTAACCATAATCTCTAATACCCTCCGGGCGTTCAATTGGGTGAGTGGAACCATCCAATTTACCTTTAAACGACCAATTTATCAGTTTACAACTTGCGTCGCGATTTCATTAACTCAAGTCTACCACAAACATTTATGACAACATATAATGATCATATATGGTTCCAAACGACATTATATGAGCCTGAGATGTATCCTCTATAATCTAAAGGCTTTTCGACACCAAACCCCGAAACCTCCAAAATATCTCAAAAAGCGTGGATATTAGCCTTCAATTTTAGAATTTTTTAATTTTTTTAACCCGAAAAAAAAAATTGCTGAAATGTTTACCATGGTCCCTAATACCCTCCGCGAGTCCAATTGGGTGGGAGGAACCATCTTATTTGCCTTTCAACGGCCAATTTACCACTTTACAACTCACATAGATTTAATTAACTCAAGCCCACTACGCATATTTATGACAACATATAATGATCATATATGGTTCCAAACGACATTATATGACCCTGAGATATATCCCCTAGAATTTCAAAACTTTTCGACACCGGATCCCAAAACCTCTAAAATTTCTCAAAAAGTGTGGATATTTAGCCTTTAATTTTGGAATTTTTTGACTTTTTTTTTTCTTTGAAATAAAAATTGCCGAATTGTTTACCATGGTCCCTAATACACTCCGTGAGTCCAATTGGATGGATTGAACCATCCAATTTGCCTTTAAATGGTCAATTACCAGTATACAACTTACACTGATTTCATTAACTCAAGTCTACCACGAACATTTTTGACAACATATAATGATTATATAAGATTCCAAACGGCATTATATGACCACGAGATGTCCCTTAAATTTTTGAGGCTTTTCGACACTAGGCCTCGAAATCTCCAAAAAGTTTCAAAAACCGTGGATAATTAGCCTTCAATTTTGGAATTTTTCTACTTTTTTTCACTCGTAAATAAAAATTGCTGAAATGATTACTATGGTCACTAGTACTCTCCGGGAGTCCAATTGGGTGGGTGGAACAATCCAATTTGCCTTTAAATGACCAATTTACAGATTTACAACTTGCACCGATTTCATTAACTCAAGCCTACCACGAAAATTTATGACAACATATAATGATCATATATGATTCCAAACGGCATTATATGACCCCGAAATGTATCCTCTGAAATCTCAATGTTAGCCTTCAATTTTGAGATTTTTTTTACTATTTTTCGCCCGGATATAAAAACAAACAGCCGAAATGTTTACCATGGTCCATAATACCCTCCGGGAATCCAATTGGGTGGGTGGAACCATCCAATTTGACTTTAAACGACTAATTAAGTGGTTTACAACTTGCATCGATTTCATTAACTCAAGTCTACCACGAACATTTATGACAATATATAATGATCATATATGGTTCCAAATGTCATTATATGATCCCGAGATGTATTCCTTAAAATCTCAAGGCCATTTGACTCCATGACCCGAAACCTCCAAAAATTTTTCAAAAAGTGTGGATATAAGCCTTCAAATTATGAATTTTTTAACTTCTTTCCGCGCGGAAAGAAAAATTGGCGAAATATTTACCATTATCTCTGATACTCTCCGGGCGCCCAATTGGGTGGGTGGAATCATCCAATTTGCCTTTAAACAGCCAATTTATTGGTTTACAACTTGCGCCGCGATTTCATTAACTCAAGTCTTCCACAAACATTTATGACAACATATAATGATCATATATGGTTCCAAACGGCATTATATGACCCCGAGATGTATCCTCTATAATCTAAAGGCTTTTCGACACCGGACCCCGAAACTTCCAAAATATCTCAAAAAGCGTGGATATTAGCCTTCAATTTTAGAATTTTTTAATTTTTTTCGCTCGAAAATAAAAATTGCCGAAATGTTTACCATGAGCCCTAATACCCTCCGCGAGTCCAATTGGGTGGGTAGAACCATCTTATTTGCCTTTAAACAGCAAATTTACCACTTTACATCTCACATCAATTTAATTAACTCAAGCTCACTACGCATATTTAAGACAACATATAATGATAATATATGGTTCCAAACAGCATTATATGACCCCGAGATATATCCCCTAGAATTTCAAAAACTTTTCGACACCGGATCCCGAAACCTCCAAAATTTCTCAAAAAGTGTGGATAATTAGCCTTCAATTTTGGAATTTTTTGACTTTTTTTTTTCTCAGAAATAAAAATTGCAGAATTCTTTACCATGGTCCCTAATACCCCCCGTGAGTCCAATTGGATGGATTGAACCATCCAATTTGCCTTTAA